AGCCGGTCTGCTCTGTGTGAAGCTGAGTAAAGTGACTGAAACTGCTGTTTTTATTGTCTAGGTCAGTGAATGAAGGAGCCTGACTGTGAACAGTGGATGGGAATGGTTAACATCTAAATGGACGACAAAGTTCTGTCTCTTGGAAACTGAATCTCTTAGAATGTCATTGAATGTGGAGTCCGCCAGGGGTTAATACTTGGTCCATTGCTCTTCAGTTTGTACATACTGCCTCTAAATGATCTATGTGTTAACATCATTATGCTATTAATACATTACTGCTAATACTTCCACTGTGACAACTGCCACAACCAGTGCCTGAAATGGGCCAGAACCAGCACTTCTTTTGTCCACATTACCCTTATTTATCTTTGGGTATGACGTACCAACCACTGAGGTCACTAATGTCTGGATGTTTTTCTGAGGGGTATACAATTAAAGAGAGAGATACACACTAAACACCAGTGTCTCAGTGTAAACATTGCTAGCTTGACACTAAGAAAACAGCACTGAAAAGTGAAAGTGAAAATAATTAGGGTCCAATTTTTTGGTCCAATTCAGGAACTGGCTACAACTACTGCTATTACTTGTGAAGCACCTTGTCACTCTAGTTTTGACAGGCACTATAGAAATAACTATTTATAGCTAATACTACCACTATTCCAGCTGCTACAAGTACTGCAACCAGTCAACATTTACTACTTATAATCGTCATCATTGTTATACACACTTCTAATGATAAACAAAACTAAGCTAGATCTCAAAAAGATGAAGAAAACATCAGTGCAGTGTGTTGTGTTTTAGAGCGAGAAACAGCTTCATTGTGTATAATCCAAACTAACCCAAACTACCACAAAGCCACTGCCAGCATCCATATCCAACATGTTGCATGAACAGCTGAAAGACTGCCAAGACTGCTCCCTCTCTCCCATAGACTCTCCACAACCTCTTCTCTCCTGGATCTGGCAACACACACTTGTTGACCCAGGGGTTTAACAAACACACACACGTGCATACGCATGTTGTCCATCTGGATTTTGAAAAAAACACACTTGTTGGCTAGTTGGATTTAATTGTCAAGTTTGGTGTGAAGGAGTACTGTGCTTACACTGTCTGCCTGCTTGGACCACAGCAAAAGCACACAGAACAAAACACGTTCTGTTCAGTTTCTACGCATTTGTAAAGCATATTAACAAATCCTATTCCAAAACAACCCATTTTCGTGGATATATTGAACAATTTGATATAATTCCCTTAATCAGTCGGAAAAACAAATATATTTTTAATTATTTTTATTCACATGGCTGTGGTGACTGATCATGCAACACACAAATGTTACTGTGTGCCTTGATGCATGAAAAGCTGATTCTGCAACATACAGCAACATATGTTGCCAAATGTAACCAAACATATCATCTCTTTTAGGAACAGGTATAAAACAATCTCCCATTGCTGGCAGTGGCTGGCAACTTCAAAATAATACTCTGGTAGGGAAAGTGTTAACTGTACTAACATGATGTAATCAGGCCCACTGGAGAGGCTCGCTATTACTCGGTGCTAGCTCAGCTACCCCCAATGGTGACTGTAATTTTGCATGTCATAGCGGATTTCTCGACTTCATCGTACAGAACGAACAAGACTAACAGCTGGCGTATTACACACAAACAATGTAAATGATCTAGAAAAATGGCAGTTCAACATAATGGCATCCGTGGAAGGTGACTCACAGCGTCTGTAGAAGGCTCATTTTAGGATAACCAAAGCAACAATTTTCAGGTGATTATACATTAAAGAAAACATAGTTATGCATAGTGTATTCCATTTCTGCCAAAAGATAAATGTTACTCACTTGACCTTTAAGTGATGCTGCTGAATTGGCTTTTCTTATTTTTCCTTTGCAGTTGAAGGGCTACTCTCCACCTCCAAAGGCACTCGTGCCAATCTGTATCCTAAATGTAGTGTTCTATTTATAGCTGCATTAACATGTGTTTTTCTTTATCCAGTTAAAATATGCAGATACATGTCACACTAGATGATACATAATATCAGGTGGAAATGCAGTCTGAAGCTGTCACATAAAGAGTGGTGTGATGCCTTGAGTGAAAGAAGTACAAAGTATTTAAACTTTTATGCACAGTTAAAAAGCACCAGGTAACTGTGTGACAAATGAGGAGTGCATGCTAGGTGATGGTGTTTCATTGGAAAATAATTATCTGTTAGTCTCTGTGTGATCACCCCCTTATGGACAACATTAGTGTGTACAGCTAACAAAAAAAGCAAAACACTAAACGAGGAAAGTAACTTAAGTAAGTAGAAAAGTTTATTTGTGGCAATGTTAGACACAGTTTTTAACTTACCCCTACCCACACAAATACACACACACAAACACATTGTGTAACCATTCCAAATAGCAGAAGAAGTTAATAACGTTCGTACGAGGCGAGACGGAAAGTGGGGGAGAAAAAAAGTGTGTGTAAAGGAAAGGAGATTAAGAGAAATAAAGGCAGCCACGGAGACACAGAGAAAATGACAGACAGAGAGACAGTGAGGAGGAGTGAAAGAAAGGAGGACAGAGGGAATTAGCGTTTCATTATTAATGTTTGTCTCTGAAAGCCCACAGGCTCGTCCCCTGAGATTCTCAGCCACCGGGCCTCACATCACAATGTCCCACTCTCTCTCTTTCTATCTACCCCTTTCTCCCTCTTCAAATCCTGCATCTCTCGCTTGTTCTCTTTATTCCTCCCCACAGCTCCATCTCCCTCTTTCTCTCCAGGGACAGGCCACTGCAGTGACAAATCAGAAAAAAAGAAACTGTGGTACAATGTGACATGTCCTCATATTTCTCTCCTCCGCCACTTTTCTCTCTCTCTCTCTCTCTCTCTCTCTCATCCCTTCCTGTGTCTCTTCCTCCCACTGTCATCCATCCATAATACCTCACTATGTACCCTCTTTCTTTTGACTTCCTTCACCTCCTTCTGTGTCTTACAGAGGCTCTTCTCTCCTTTGGCAGCACTAACTGCTGATTTACAATGGCATAATGGATGTAACGGTTGGACTTCTTTCAAAGAAGACACATTTGAGTGCAGAATTACTAATTGCATTGGTGACCAATTCATCAGCAGGTTGTGGAAGATGGGGAGAAAGGCAGACAAGAAGGTCTGGCATTATTTTAATGTTCTTTACCTGTCAATTTTAAAATTAGACAAAGAGATTGTGGGGCTTTTGTGTAACACTATAGTGGGTCAACTACAGGAGACATTGCTAGGTCCTGCTTAACAAGCTTTGCAGCAATGTTAGCTTTGACATTGGACTTTGTGTTGTGGTGGGTGTGTGGGATTGTTTGTAGAACTCCATTCATAAACTAAGCTAGTGTTGAACACTGTTGACGTTGTATACAAGTGGAGAGAGAAGGCACTCAGGAGCTGGAACTTGACTATAGAAAACATAAAAATCAAAGCCTTTGGATTTGTGGAAAATCTGACCCGCAACCCCAAATATAATGCATAAAAATCACTCCGGTTCACACATTGGCAATAAAAAGTAATTGATACATAAAACAAATATGTAAAATGTAAGAATCTTTGGTATAGGACCTTTAGGGTTGTTGATTATTTCTGGAAATTTACTAAAGAAAACAAACCATTCAAGTTTTGTGTTTTGTGCATTCAAGAATCACTCAGACTGTGTTGAAAGTTTCAGCATCATTTTGAAACATAATGTAATATTGTATGTCAGTGATCACACTTTCATCAATCAGGCAATCGAGCTTTAATGATTGCACCTGTCCCAGGAGTTTGGTGCTTCTAATCATTCATACAGTAAGCTAACACTCAGTAGATTTAGACTTTAGGAAATTGAGCTTTCTGGTCATTCCTAGAGTAGATTTTGACAAGATGAGTTCAGTCCGGCTGGATATTCTTAGATCTAGATTAAACTGGGCCATCTGGTGATTGTTAAAAGTAGTCTAACATCATGTGGAATTATTGTGTAACATCACCGTCAACCAGTGAATGTATCTTTCTCACATTAAACAGCATGTGTGTTCACATGAGCATCATTCATCTGTGATTCTATCTGATGATTCTTTCATTGTGTGAGAGAGAATTGTTACTTTTACAGTTGTTGAGTTTGATGGTTTTAAAGATGAAAAGAATAAGCAGCTTGATATAAAATGTGACGTGAAACATTAAATCCTAATGGGATGTAAAACAGACATGGCCATCGCTGTCAGTGCATTCACTCTTTGTAGATAGCACTGTGGAGATAGAAGGTTTTTAAACCACCTCTCAAGAGTTGTATATTTCTACAGACATGCTTTAGTAAAATGATGTTGCATTTCTTCGTGTTCCTGTATGTGGGTTTGTTGGTATACTGTAATCATATCTGTTTCACAAGGACTTGCAACACTATAGAATGCTCCCTCTCAAAAACATTTTCTTTAATTTATTTAGCAAGAAAATTTTTTTTAAGGATAAAAAAACTGACCTCGGCCGTAACCCTAAACACAACATAACCCTAATTGTTATTATTATTTTTTTTAGAAATCAATTTCAAAAAGGATATTTTCAGTGCTGTTTTCTTATTCCCTTACCAGCATTGCTTTATGCAGGTTTTTAGAAATCACAAGGTAAAAAAACTGAACTTTCTAGGAGGGGGTTTGGGGGTACATCTTAAAGCAAGTAAAAAATTATTTTTAGGCAATTCATTATTTACCCCTGGGAAAAAATACTGAGGTGGGTACAGCCATGCTCACAAGATGTGGTGGTACTCAATAAGAAGTAAGGGTACTCGTGTGGACAAAAGTCAGAAGTGCTGGTACCGGGGAGAACTGGTCCATTTCAAGCACTGATTCCCACACTATATACTGTAATCACACCCACACTATTTAACC